ATTAACAAGGTATGTTAACACGAATAATTCAAATTTATGATTCTGCTAAGTATTTTACAAAAATTAATTAAAATTGATAATAATTTTAATCCATTCAGTAGTAAGTTCTACATATAAGTCCTACCTATACAACATGGAAGATAACTTTTTCATCACTACCAAGGGAGATCTATTTTTGTCTTGTTCACTGGTTTTAGTCTTTAAATAACATCATAAGTATCATACATAGTGCACTTTACTTACAAATTATCCTATGTTTTATGGTAGTTGAGTAAATAGTAGGACAGCTTACCTAATCATATGTTTATGGCCAGAAGCATCTAAACCCATACGCTAAAACTAGTAGTAACCTCATTTAAAGTCACATAAGAGAAACTGTCCAAAGGCTCCGATGATTCAAAAGAATTTAGAAGAATCAGTGAAGAAAGATCTACTCCTAAATATCATATGAGCAAACTGCACTCATGCTAGAAATGTTTGTATACATCATATATATATATATATATACACATATAATGAAACAGTCATTATATATGAAACAGTCACATATATATATATATAAAATGAAACAGTCACAAAGTACATATATAAATACTTAAGCTATGATCTTGGTAAAGCTTTATGTGAGGAAGTATTGGGTGAAATGAAGAACTCCTTAAATAAAGATATTTGTACACAATACATCATTAACAATTAAATTCTTAATTGAAGTGGTAGTCAAATTAGGAAATATTTGAAGTAATGCTTTAGATTATCATTTCTGTTAAGATTTATATTCCAAGGTACATTTTAACAGCTATACTCATCCAACCTATATTAAAATCTTTCCTTATATGTATTATTTAAACTTAAACTTTTTCTTTTAATGAAAAAATAATGGGATCTCCCCAAGTAACAACCAAGCTTTAAATATATATGCTTTGCCTATAAATTATAAGTGAGAAATCATGCTCTATTATACTTTACACTACAAGAGAAATCAAACTAGCAGATGACAAGACAGAAATTAAAGGATAAAAGGTTTCATCTTTTGCTTGATCTTCACTGACTGACAAATCTCTTTGATCTCTTAGGTGATAAATTAATGGAGAAAAACAAAACTCACTCCTACATCATATTCTATCAATCTATCTTTTTTAAAGCTTAATTCAGTTGAATTATATTTAAGATTAACTCAATAGCTACACTGCATGATGCAAGGAAAAAATTCTGGCTAATATAGCTATGACAGAAAAAGTCCTGGGGAGATAGAATGAAAATACAAATGATACAGAAAATGAAATAAAATGTTTATAAAATCAAGTCCAAACACTTGGCAATGTTTTAAACATTATCATAAGGTTTAAGCTAAATATATTATTTACCAGATAACCATTTTTGATGACTGTGTTTTTCAAATAATAGTTTAAAACAATTATTAAACTCTTTCTAAAATTCTTCAATGCAGTACCACGCTACTGTCAAAACTAAGAGTACGCACTAACTATGTATGTATGTATATACAGATCTTCCAGATGTGTTCCCTCCATAAACTTGAGTTCTGCTTCAGGAGTGTTACATTATTTTACCAGTCAATTCAACTTATCGGATGAAGTGCATTACTCTATAGAGAACATTAAGCAATTACTTTTCTAAAGTTTAAAATTGACTATAATTTACCACTCTTATAGCAATATATTAGTTTACCAACATTCCACTCAATTTCACTTATATTGAATTTACAGAAAAACTTAGAAATGAATCTAATTTTCTTAGAAAACATAGATCACACAAATAATAATCATAATAAACACATTTCTAACCTATTTTACTAAATTAGCACTGCCATTATTAGGTGATTTTTAAAGTGTCAGTTATGATAATAAAGAATGTAGCAGGTTTAATTGTGACAAGAACTTAGTAAGTGGCTGATTTTCATGACATAAAACTTTCAGTATATTACTTTAAAATTCTTTTTTTTTTCCTATATGAAGGAGTGTAACTTTAGAATGAGAGAGATTTAGAAAGCTCCATGATCATTTAATCTGTGTGGCAGAAGGCAAGTTAGAATTCATTCCTTCAGAAAACTGGTTATCCTATTTTACAACAGAATTCTACTCCTTCCTGTACACTATATGAACAAGAGGAAGTACAGTTTTAGGAGGCACAATTAAATCCTTTTCCACAGACATTAAATGATGATTTAGAAAACAGTCACACAGACTTCAGAAGTTTGTGCACTCAATGGAAAGCATGCTTACTTCAAATGATTACTGGTGCCACATTTTCAAAGGCAACTTGTTTGTATGTTCCTGAATATATTTGATCTATAGCTATAACTTTTTAATTACTAAATAATGATAGTGAAATAAGAGCTGGTTGGGTCTTCCAGACTAAGTACACATCCACAGCACAGTAAAATGTATAACAGAACACAATAAAAGGAGAAAAACACTAGTAATCACTAGACTAGCGTCAAGAACAGTCCTTTACTAAAACTGCAGACCACTGAAATTGCTTAAGCCTTCTCTGCTCTGTCAATAAAATGGGCAACCCATTATTCCACATAAACTTTAAAGTTATTTTGACAGAGTGATGACTACCAGTAAAATTTTAAAATTTATGCAAGGAGGCAGGTTGTTTCTCTGTATTACTATTGTCACCATCATTGTCCACATACAGATACAAAAGGGCAGCTTTTGAAGGGTTCTGCATTTGTATTTCAAGATATGATTCATGGGCTCAGGCCACTCCAGTTCTAAATTTCATGTAATTCTTGGACAGGAAGAATATTAGCTCACCGGGGTCACTAAAAAGTTTTATTAACTTTTCTCAGGTATCTTAAGAAATAAGTACACCTATGTATTTGCAAAATTCAAAAAAAAATAGTGTAATTCAAATTACTGAAAAGTAGTCAAAATAATAATATTTACTTACTTTCAAATACAAGTTTATATAATTATTTAAACTATAACACAATGATTAGGCTTGATATGATTACAAGAACACAATTCTTCCACACACAATATACCATGGGACCAGCTAATATTTGTGACATGAATGAAATCATACTATAATTTCTACGAGAAACCCTTTTTTAAATGCTTTATGAAAGAAAATTTTCTACAAATATACTCCAATCATATTTTACTTGCCATGAAATTTTTTCCAAAGAGAACAAAAATCCAATGTCTCTACTAAAGTAAGCTGCATATATAGTTTTGGCATCATCACAATTAAATGGGGATAAAGGAGTCTTGCATTGGTTCTAGTGAGTTTCCCACTGCTCCATCTGCTGGATATGCCTTCATCTCCTCCACTAAGCGGTAACCTCTAAAAAGTAACAGGAACTAATTCAGCAGGTGGCTTCAAAAGGCTCAAGCATGCTCTTTGGAAAACTTATAATGACTTTCACATTTTTGTTTCATTAAGGGTTCCTACCTCTTGAAAAAGGAAGGAAAGAAGGGGTGGAAGGAAAAACGTGCCCACAACCAGCAAGAAGGATGCATTTCAGATTGGGTGATACCTTACACACAAGCGACTAGGCTATTTGCTGCAGGCTTGCACACTGGCTCTCACAGTACCGATTTTGACATTTACGTGAGAAGCCTTACAATCTTACCGTCCTCCAGCTAATATAGGAATCAAAATCCTATGAAAAGAAAAGTTTTGAAGAAATGTGTTATCACGCCTGTCAGCGAGCACATAACATCGCAAAAGGAGATCCTGACACTCTCAGTAGGATTCACCCAGCGACGGGAGCCCTTAGGTTTTCCACTCCTACAGCATCTGTGCAGCCTGCTCCAGAGACGCTCTCGACGCGGCAGCCTCACTTTCCTCCTCTCCCAGTCACAAATGGGACAGCATGCGGCCGCTGCCACCGGCCAGGCAGCTGTCACCGAAGCTACCCAAGCTGCTGCTTCACAACCCTGGCTGCTACTGAAAAGAAAGGGTTACTACTCCTCGCCGGGTGTCCAGCGGCTGCAAACTTCCCCTGCTTTCCTTGCACCTTTTCTGCAAACTTGTGCGTCCTTTCGCGCGGAAGGGCAGAGGAAAAGCCTTACCGGCATCACAGAGAACATCACAGAAAGGCCACCCCGAAGGTAAGACCCGCGAACCCTTCAGGGACGCGGGAGCCGCGGCTGCCAGCGCATCTGCCCCGCACCCGGCCCTCGCGGCGGTCGGCGCCCACGGTGC